GAACGGGCAGGGGGGGGAGAGGAGACGGAGCTCTTCCCCCCCCCCCCCGCGAGTATCGCGGGTCCCCCTCTTGTAATATCTAAAAGCTTGGTTCACACCTCCAACCAGTGTTTGCCTTGATTCATCACCCTTTTGGCAATCTCATTCAAACCTGAATATGTTCTGGTTGGGTTCTTAATGGCTAGGTTTTTAATGTTTTGTTAAACTTAATTATTTTTATAATCTTTTGCTTTGAGAGCAGCATCAAGCAGATCTCTGGAGAGAGAGTATATACATTTTCTAAATAAATAAATAACGCAAAAAATCTCTGAAAATAATGGGCACAATCCAGCCAAAGTTAAAGGCTTTTTAAAAAATCCCATTCCTTTTAATGTGCTTAATTCTCCCACTGAAATCAATAAATGCAAAAAGTATTTAATTCTGGCACCATCCGTCTCTAACCCCCCCCCCCCAGAAGCTTAGTATTAAGCATCTGTGAAAGGTTGTGCTGCAGTTCTGAATATGAACTTTTGAGGCAGACACTTTCACATAAGCCACAGTTAAGAAAACTTTGTGTGTGTTATGTGCTGTCAAGTCAATTCCAATTTATGGCTACCCTATGAACTAATGACCTCCAAAGTGCTCTATTGTTAACAGCCTTGCTCAGGCCTTGCAAACTGAGAACCAGGGCTTCTTTAACTGAGTCAATCCATCTCATGTTGGGTCTTCCTCTCTTCCTGCCTTGAACTTTTCCTAGCGTTACTGCCTTTTCCAGGAATTCTTGTCTTCTCACAATGTGACAAAGTGTGATAGCCTTAGTTTGGTAGTTTTAAAACACTGAACTGTGTCAAAATCCCTTACTGGCAAAGTTTTCAGCCCTGCAAAGTATGGAACAAGGAAAGTGATGAAATGATTTTTAAAACGGACCTCATTACCCTTTAAAATGGACCTGCACTACACTTTGAGAACCTTCTCAAATGATACAGATTTTCCTTACAGGTTGTGCATTATATTGTTGTAGACTTTGTGATGTGAGAGAATCTAGGCCTACTAGTCCCATTTTATTCAGTGTAAATGTACAGCTGCACTGCTCTCCATCTTCTCTTTAGGAAACTGGGAAGTTCTCTTATCTAACTTGTCTGATCACAATTCTGGTGAAATGTTATTGCCTCTATATCTTTGTGGAAGACTCAGATGCTGCGTAACTGCTACCAGCTTCTCATGGTATTTGTATCTTCTCTAGATGTAAACATGCATCATAATGTTTCCCGCATTATGTTTCTACTGGATTTCTGATGAGGGAGTGAGATACAAAACCAATTCTCTGTGGTCTAAATATAATGGGCAAAAAACAACCAACAATTGTTGCAATTCAAAGATTTGGGGCTAACTCAGGGCTGCTCAATTGTGTATAGGCTGCATTCTACATGCCCATGATTTATGCCTGCTTAAAGGCATGATCTGCAAGCATGTGATGCTTCCCATGCACACTTTGCTCATGGACATTGGTTCCCCTGTTTGAACCCTGCAGCACTGGATAGGTGCCTCTGCAATGGTTGCTGTTAGCCTTTGCTGATCATGTATGGAATGAGGCAATGCAATCCTGAAGCTCCTAGGAAACACTGAAAGTGTTCTGATTTTTATCCCCTCTTGTTTTTCTTAACAGGTTGAAAAAAACGATGACATTGACCAAAAGATCGAACAAGATGGCATCAAACCAGAAGATAAAGCTCACAAGGCAGCCACCAAAATTCAGGCTAGCTTCCGTGGACACATAACAAGGAAAAAGCTTAAGGGGGAGAAGAAGGGAGATGCCCAAACTAATGATGCTGAAGCTGGTGAGAAGAAGGAGGAACTCCTCGCTAATGGTGTGGCTGATGGCAAAGCTGCTATTACAGACGTGGCTCCATCTGAGAATGCCCAGCCTGCAGGAGGCAACAAAGAGGGAGGCATCCCAGCAGAGGAGAAGCAGGGGGAGGCCAAAGCTGACACTGGTTCAGAACAACCTGCCCCAAAGGCTACAGCTCCCGCTGCCCCGTCGGAGGAAAAACCCTCCCCTGCCGCCGCTGAAACGGAAAGTGCCACTAAAGCTTCCACTGATAACTCACCATCCTTGAAGGCCGATGAAACCCCAGTCAAGGAGGAACCTAAACAAGCCGATGTGCCTGCCACTGTCACCACTGCCGTTAGCCCCACTGCTGCAGAGGATGCTACTGCCAAGGCAACAGTGCAACCCCAAACAGACACGGCAGAGAGTAGCCAAACCGAAGAGAAGACAGGTATGCTAGCCACAGGGAGGAAAACTGACCTTGTACTAGAACTAGAGTGGTGAGGAGGATTCTGAGAAATGGAGTTTATGGTCATGATTACTCAACAAGGGACTCTTTATGGCAATAAGGCAGGAATAGTTTTAAGGACCGGCCCAGAAGGCAGCCATCTGTTCCTTAGAGGGACTTTTGGGACAACATCTGGAGACAAATTTGATAGAATTTCAGTAGGGAGAGGTGTTTCCTTTACCACAATACTTTTCACTACTCCTCCTCACCCTCACCCCCCCCAACCCTACCAGATTTTTATCAAGATATGGGGAAAGTATTATGCTTTGTTTCACTCAAAAGGCAAAGTTTGTTCTGAAACACAGAGACTCAAAACTTTACATCACTTATTTCTTCAGATTTTGTATGTAATCTAGCTATTCAGATAATTTATTTAAAAGCCTGTCCATCTGCTGTGTGCCAAAATACAACTCTGGCCGCCAGACTACTGGCTGGAGAATAGAGTAGCTCATGAGAATACAGAGGAAAAAAACCTGCCACTATTGAAACAGTGTACTGTTACACAGTGGCACAATGGTGGTATGGAGGCCAATGGGAGGTTTACCATAAGTTTAGTCAGATAGAAGGGTTTAGTGTGTGTGGTAACATGAAGAAGAAATAAATAATTACGAATAGCCTGAAACCACCATGGGAAGTCATAGGAAGAATCTACAGCAAACACTTATATTCCCACTCCCCAGGGAACCCAGAGAACTGTTTTCTGAGTGAGGCTGTGGTGCTGCAGGAACCTTTAGAACTACAAAACAATTTTTTACAATGTGGAAAGGGGGGAGCTATGGCAGTCAGATTCATATAAAATCAAGTTTTAGTATAGATGGCACTAAGTAGATGGCACTAAGACTGTTTAGCATATGCTAGTAGGCTTTTATTTTAAAAAATATCTATGTGAACCGGATTTGGGTGTGGGGGAAATAATTGCTCATGTCAGAAAGCAATAATCCAACTCTAAAAGATCAGGTAGGAAGATCAGCCAAACTAAAAATCTATCTATTCTACTTGGGTCATGCCTTTTCTTGGCTTAACTCCAAATGACTTGAATGGAGACCAGCCAGAAATGATTTCAAGTTGCAGTCTCTGCCAAATGGATCTGTAAATCTCATGAGAAAGCAGTGTCTCCTTTACCCTAAAGCTAGTAATCAAGAACTTATAGTGGGGTGAGCTAAATAAGCAAGGACATATAGGTTGTATGATATATCATGTATAAATACATAAGCTCCATTATTCTACTTGTCAAAAGTTATTTATTTTGAACAGACATTTCCTGGTGTGTGCAAGAGAAGGCAAGGGAGAAAAGATGCTTAGGGCATTTGCAATAGATAGACATGTCAAAACTGGCTACAAAATCCATTCATTCCCACAAAGTCCCATTTAGCTCAGTGCAAGTATGCCAGAACATGTGGATGGTGGAATGTGGTCTGTGAAGAGGCACTGGGTGCCTGTGGTCCATCCCAACTATGGCAAATCTTGCATGAGCATCTGCTGATTTCTCATTGTAGCAAGTGGCCAAAAACAGGCATGTTCTGCAGTGATTACAGGAGTAATTACTCCTGTGGAAGGCTGCCCTGATATGTGCCTGCCCAGATGATAATAATTGTATGGCATTGTGTGTAGAACAGCTAGAAAATCTTAAGATTGTCTGGCAGCCAGGAGTTTTAGCTCTTTAGTGTTATGCACCACTTGTTTTTAAGGAAAGAAATGTTTCAGAGGTGGTTTGCCATTGCCTGCCTCTGTGTCATGACCCTGGTATTCCTTGGAGGTTGCCCTTCCAAATACTAGCCAAGGCTGACCTTGCTTAGCTGCCAAGATCTGATGGGATCAGGCTAGCCTGGGCTATCCAGGTCAGGGCTGCCCATATAAGACTGTATATAAACACTCACTAGAAATGAACCATATAATGGTAAATAAAGGTCACTCACTGCATGGTGACCAAAAGGCCTGAGTATGGTTAATTTCACCTTAAGTGAAACTTAAAGCAACCTTGGGGAGTCTTACTTAGGCAAAATATCTATTCCAAGAGGCATTTCTGTTGGTGTAGTGGTTAAGTCCGTGGACTCTAATCTGGGAGAACCGGGTTTCATTCCCCAATCCTCCACTTCCACCTGCTGGATGTCCTTGGGCAAGCCATAGTTCTGACACAGCTGTTCTTGAAAAAGAACAGTTTCTTTCAGAGCTCTCTCAGCCCTATTTACCTCACAGGGTGTCTGTTGTGGGGAGGGGAAGGGAAATGAGTTTGTAAGCCGCTCTGAGACTCCTTTGGGTAGTGAAGGGCGGGGTATAAATCCAATTTCTTCTTCTTCTAAAATGTCTCAGGACAGCTTTGCTCCACTGAACTCTCTGTATTATTCAACAATCTCCTCTTGCACTGCAAATGCTTTGAACATTGTACATGTCAATCTGAGAACATGAAGCTCCCATTTCCAATGCTGAATCAGCTGATTAACACTACTATGCATCTTGCATTTCATATATACGGTACTTAAAAAATTTTCACTGAACATTCAGACTGAAATGAGCTGCCTTTTTTCCCTGGTATGTCCAAGGGAAGAACAGCACAAAAAGTTGTAGGACTGATTAAAAACGTAAACGTTTTGTAGAATAATCGTAGAAAATCGATTAAGCAGATTGCCCTGTTAGTGAAAATTGACTTTTGTTCAGATTTAAGCTGAATAAAAATTGATTCCAGTATCTGGTCATTTTAATTGGCTCTAAACTCACATGGTCTGTATACATCACAGAATCATGAAAAAAAGATCAATGCACAAACAAAACCTGCTTCTATGGATAATGTTGTCTTCTAGGCCCTCCTGAATAAAAAGTCGGGTAAATAGAGTGAATGAATACAAATTCTACTTCTGTAACACAGTCATGATCTCCTAGTCCTTCTGTAGAAGTCAGTCACTCTTCACAGTTCTCCTAAGACTCAACAGCTTTGCTTAATATGCCTAACTAAGAGGTGGAGCTAGAAACCTGCCTTGGTCTCATGGCTGGAAATATAATTATCTACATCTGGCTAGTGAAGAATGGATTCACTCACTGGAGCACTCTTCCACACGATTCCATACAGCTTGTTTCCATCACATTCTTTGAGAGGAATAGGTATCCTTGCTTTCAGTTGGTGGCAGCTGTGTTTCCCGTGCTCTTCTCTGTGCAATGCACCTCTTTTTTCCTTTCCATAACCTGAGTCCTCTTCATTGTAGGTGGAAGCACATTGCTTTGTAATTGGGTGACATTTTCCTTGTTAGCTACAATGGGTGGTGGAAGGTAGATGTGTTTTAAGGACTGATGGTCCTAGGTCCTTTCTGTGTCCACAGGATGACTCTTTCTTACCACAGTGGTCCATAATAATAATTAAATTGGTAGAACTTTTATAATTATTGCAACAAACAAAACCACCCCCAGCACCCCAAACTCCCATCATTAATAAGCAGCAGCTAATATTTAAATATCATTAGTTCCCTGTGGCCATGAGAATGACAACCATGAGGAGGACACAAAAAGACTGTGAGGTGAAGAGGTTACTCCATTGTACTCGGCACTGAACAGGTGAACGTATGTCACAAGGGAAGTGGTTGTGGCTAAGTGGTGCAGCACTTTACCTGCAGAAGGTCCAAAGATCAAGTCCCTTCATCTCTAGCTAAATAATTTTATATAGCAGGAGTTGGGAAAGATCTTTCTCTGCCTGAGCCACCACCACTCACTGTAGAGAACACTGGGGAATAGATGGACTTAAGTGACTTTTATTGAGTGAAGATGACACTTTCTTATATGCTCAGCTGTCCCCTTCTCAGTCCCCTTCTCAGGAAGGACGCTGGTTTGGAGTCTGAATGGTAGGATTGAGCTTTCCTAGGAATTTCTTTTAACTTCATAGAAAGTTCTAAATCTTATTTTTAAATGATGGCTATCATTTTGATGAGCAAAGGCTGGCTCAGGAACTGATGATGGAAGGCTGCCAGAAAAATAAATAAATACAGTTGGCTACCATCCAGTTTCACTGATTGGCTAATTTCCGAGGCATACTTGGCTACTGCTCCTGAAAAGAGTAAATGCAGGTCAGCCTTCACTTTTGCTGTAGTGTTCATTGGAGTTATATTTTATTGTCGTTATTGCCTCAGTCTTCTAATTCAAGGACATGATCTCATGGGTGACATTGGCAGTGGATGAGATCAGTGTTTGGGAGAATCATTGTGTCATCTGAGAAAGGAATGGAATGAAGGGACTGTACTCTGCAGTGACCGGGGGGGGGGAAGTTGGTGAAGAACATATAACAGAATTTAAGGTTGTGTCTTCTCTTCAGTTTGTACATTTTTCTTTTAAAATTAATACTTTGTTCTTGTAGACACGTAGACATGCAACCATTCTCAACTGAGAACCAAAATGCATAAGAAAAAGTAAGTAGACATGCAACCATTCTCAACTATACTGAGAACCAAAATGCATAAGAAAAAGTTCAAAAACTCCACTGGAATGGATATGGAGAGTGTATTACATGTTCCCCCATCAGTGGTGATGAGTACTATCCAGTAGCTGTCCATAAAGGGCATGAACATATTTATTGTACCAATGTTGGATGTGCTGATGGGATCCATTTCAAACTTACAGGAGATATGCTTGAATTTCTATCAAGGTATGTAAAACTGGGTTGACCAGAGACCATTGTGAAAATGGGAAAAAGGTGAACATCATGAGCAATACAAAATTGCCTTAGGCAAGATGTTCCTATAGTCATGCTCTGCTCGATAGTTACTACACTAGGAGTAACACTGGTATAATGTTGTTTAAAACCTGGGCATGTTCACTAGCCAGCAACAGCTGTTGAAAAAAAGATTAATGTAGCCACACTGACATTTTTCACACCATCCTTTGCAAATATGCCACCACCCACTGACACCTGATAGTGTCCATAAATGACAGCCACACAGATCAGTACGCAGTGAAGATCAAAT